ATCATTTTGACACCTTTACTGATTGCTTCCTTCCCGTCCTTCAGCTGTTCGAAGGTTTGTTCCGACTCTGTGCTGTGGCTCGTTTGTTTTATCTTTTAGTCACACTTTGCCTACGTGTCCTTTTTCTTCCTTTCCTCTGTTCCTTTGCCTCGTTTTCTAACACCTGCTTTGCTCCCAGAGCTTGTGACAAATGCGCCTCCTCCGAGGTTAGCAGGGCATCTTTATTTTACGCTCAACTGTGTTATTACATTTAACCCAGTTCCATTTTTATTTTGCTTTTTGAGCCAGATGAGGATGCCGGTGTCTGAAAGCGCGAGGAGACACGTGGGGACTCGTTCCTCTGTCCTCTCAAGCAAAGGAAGGAGAAAGGCAGGTGGAGGTGGTGAGGAGGCGGGAGTTTGGGTTGACCTTCCCTTACCCTCCTTCCCTCCTCCCTCCTGTCAGAGAGACGTCTGCTAGTAGAGCCATCGCTGGCGAAGGGAAAGGAAATAAAAACTGAAATGCTTAGTATGGGCGGAGAGGATGCATCATTTATATCCTGCTGGAATGAAATGAACTGTGGGTAGTTCTTGTTCCTGTATGAGACCTTATTTCATTCCTTCCCATCTGCTTTTTAAAGGCCTAATTTTTCATGGCAGCCGTCTGCGTGTTGTCAGGCAGTGTGAGGGTGGCAGAAGACGAGGTTAGAGTGTTTTTAATTGATAAGGCTGCATTTCCTCCCTGTGTGGCTGTTAAAGATATATTTTCCTCCTCGTGTTTAGTTTTAGTTGCATTGCCTGTGTTGCCGTTCTGCATCTGCTCGTCTTCAGCCTGCAGTGCCAACGCCAAAAATAAGGGTTGATCGGGTGTGTAGAAAACAGAATTACCTGATGCTGATGAAAGGCCGTTTGAAGTTCTGCCAAAAAAACATTTCTAAAAATAATTTCATCGCATGTTTCTCAGAAAAAGGCATGTAAACGGTTTCAGTGCGTTTTTAATTGGTGGATAATCAGTCCAATTTTCAGAGAGTAAATATTTGTTAATTTATATATTATTACATCACATTTTGGGTCATTTAGACCAAAATACTCAATTTTGCTCTACATGGGCCTGATATCCAGTTACGAGGACGTTATGCTGCTACTGTTCTATCAAGCTTGTAAACGAGTGTCCTCATATGTGGCTCTCATTTTTCTTAGAAACAAAAATTAGGTAAAAAAAATAAATCTGGTAATTCTTTGTTTTTACATTCATCAGGTCCCAATCAGCCCAAATATCAAAGAGAAATTAAACCTGCTGCTGTGGAAGAGTTCAGGTCTCAGGAGGTTAATCTACCTTTATTGTCCCAAAGAGCAGGACGAGATTGAAGGAATCTGAGAACATGAGCACCGTTGCCTATTTTTGAATTTTGCCACATATTTTGGTGCAATCCTCCAAGATAATAAAACACTAACACAAATACATAAAAAAATATTGGATGCAGCAGATCGTGATATTGCTGTTAGTTTGGTTTGACTATTGCAGATCCAGCGGCCTAATATTGAACCTAATATCACCTCGGCATCAGTGACCAAACATTCATATTCTACAAAGTTTGGTTTGTTGAGGGGAAAAAACTTGGAAACTGTGGCCCAACTTTAGTGTTTCACACTATGAGAAAATTTGTATCACAGTATTTTTTAAGACTGTTGCTTCATAAAGTCGAAGGAGGTTAGAATTAACATGATTTCTGCATAATTGAGCTTTTATAAATGTATAAGGACTGTGTGGAATAATAACGCTCTTTAATGGCAACATTAAAAATAAAATAAAACCACATGATTGTTCGACACATGACTACAAAGTTGGTCCTTGACAGGTGGCTTCTTTTGTTGCTAAACAGAAAACATTTGGCCCGTTGGTGTCAATGTTTCCACAGCAGAACTTCACACGGACACGTCGCTCTGTCAGGAAAAACATCCGTTAGATTTGCCTCGCCTCGTTCCCCTCGGCGTTTGTGGACGAGATGCCAGAGTCTGATTTTATAAAGCCGGGGAACTTGCAGACGCAGCTCCTGTCTTTGTCACAAGTTTCTTTGATCCATCTCTGGTCTCCTGTTGATCTGCCGCTACAGTTTGCTCAGCTGTTCACAGACTGTCGTGCTACCTGACTGCCTAGCATTACCCAGCATGCTTTTCATTAGTGAAATGTTATAAACGTGCAATGATCTTATATATTTATATGATTTTTAGGTTTAGAACCATTATTGAGGAGGGTGCACAGTTGTACCTCCTCTCACTGTACTCTACAGTCCTACTAGTATTCTCGAGAGGCCACAGAGGACATTTTGCCTTCTTACTGACATGGTCAGGTAAAGCTAAGGTTTAGGCCCCGCCCACAGTGGACACAAGACTGGTCAGTGAATTTTTTGCAAGCTGTGAATAGTTGACGAGTGGTTGCTGGAGGTTGCTCGCAGTGACTAGTGTGAAATGATTTGTGTACGGTGCTGCACTGAAAACCTTGCCATCGCTGTGGTTGCCAGCAGACTCCTGGAGTTGCCTGTATCTTGCACGGAAGATGCTGACGTGTCTGCAGACACTCGTAAACTACTCGCTATTCTGCATTGAAACTGCGAAAAGTGCGACGCCAACCAGAAACGGTGTCTGCTCACCTTCACAATAAAAGTTTGAAATGTGTGCACAGCTTTTACTGTGAAGGCAAACGGTCTCTGTTTCTGGTTGTTTCTTACTTTCTCCAAGCTTCACTACAGTCTGGAGAGAAACTGAGAAGTGTTTGTACAAGTCGGCAGCTTTCAATCCCGGGTGGGTCCGGTGGTGCTGCACCCTGCTCAACACGACGCATTCAGGAGATGCGATCAGTGAAACTTTATCGATATGTCATAAGAAAGCGTCAGGCGTGAGTCTCACACCCACACTGTGACATTACAGCAACTCACGTTTCCAAATGTCAAGCGTTTAATCGGTGCATAACGCGTTTCAGCATGTTCGCTGCTTGTGCGAGCAGTCAGTAGATGTTGCACATGGCAGGACCAAAAACTGCGCCCACATTTATTTCCTGAATAAAAAATGATCTGGAGTTTGAGGAATCAGGGTCACAGAGTGTCCCACTTCTTCTCAGGGCTCTGTTTGCCCCAGAGCTGATTTCAGCTCAACGTTTAGTTGGAACCAGGCGGAGAATGCTGGATGTCAGCTACTTCTATACATGCCAGCACCGTGGGTATGGTGTCTTTGTGCCTCTGCTTTGTGCTGCGTCAGGACTGTGAGGATTAGAGCTAAAAGTATATGTAATTAACTCAGCTCTACGAGCAGGTTTCGGTGTCTTTGTGATGCGTCTGTTTTTATCTGGTGTGCTCCCTTTGCCCCCCTTTCTGCTTGCCTAAAAACCATCTGGTGCTCTGGTCAGATCTGCCGTCCCGCTGCACGGCTGCCGTGGAAATCTGCTCAGGCAGGATTTATTAGTAGTGGGTTAAAACCTGTAAAATATTCTGACAACGAGGACCAGCGTTTCTCTGAAAGGTTAGGATAGCGTTTTATAAATATCGAGGTTGGCCAGTGATAATCATTTGAGGTACTGACGAGACGTTGTTGGGTTTTTATTAAATAAATTGATGTGCTGGTGTATGACCTCCACCGCTGACTCCGCCCATATTAAAGGCCAAAGATGATGAATCTTACGGTGGCAGCGCTGCAGTAGTCGGTCATTAATCATCTTCAGGAGTTTGTTTGTTTTCCACATTGTACAGCAGATATGAAAATATTGGCAAAGTGTAGTTTCGCTGGAAATCGATACACTAAGCATTGATATCCGTCGTGCAGCTGCTGCTCCGCAGTATTTCCATCCCTCCTGTGGGCTCTCCTCCTCTGCCCAACACAAAGCTGTCAGCAGGCCTCCAGTCCTGCTGCTGAGCTAATTACTGAGGTGTGTGTGTGTGTGTGTGTGTGTGTGTGCGTGCACACTGGCTGTTGTCTTATGCCAGGTCACCAGGACTGAGCTGAATCTGTGCCAATAGAAGGAGAGGGCTGTTGTCAACACACACACACACACACACACACACACACACACACA